CAAGCTCAACTTTGACATTTGAGAGGTGGATGAGTAAGCAGAAGAAACTACTTGAGAAAACCTTACATTGCTTGACTGTTGTTGACCACTGACTAGAAACAAGCAGTATGATCCTCTCTCTCTCTCTCTCTCTCTCTCTCTCTCTTTCTCTCTTTCTCTAAGATTTATTTATTTATTATGTATACAGTGTTTCTGTCTGTATGCTTGCTGGCCAGATGAGGGCACCAGATCTGAACCACCATGTTGTCGCTGGGAATTGAACTCAGGACCTCTGGAAGAGCAGTCAGTGCTCTTAACTTCTGAGCCATCTCTCCAGCCCCTAACTTTTCTTTTTTTTGCCTTTTATTTTTAATTTTTAATTTTTTTTCTCCCGAGACAGGGTTTCTCTGTTGCTTTGGAGCCTGTCCTGGAAATAGCACCAGGCTGGCCTTGAATTCACAGAGATCTGCCTGCCCCGGGTGCTGGGATTAAAGGCTGTCTGGCTATTTTTTTTTGTTGTTGTTGTTGTTTTTAGACAGGGTTTCACTGTAACCTTGGAGCCTGTCCTGGAACTTGCTCAGCTGATCAGGCTGGCCTTAAACTCACAGGTATCTCCTGATCCTTTCTTTTTAAGAATATAACTATTTTTTTTTCCTGAGACAAAGTGTTGAGGTATAGATATTACCTATTAAAGGCATGGAAAAATTCAGCTTCATAACTTTCTAAAGAACTAGCCCCAGAAATGATGAAGTTTAAAGTGATTCCAAGTCATATTTGTGACAGGGAGAAACGAGGACAAAGTCTAGACCTGGGTAAGATATTGTGTGTGATTTGTACCATGATTTACTGAAGGTTGGAAATTCCAAAGAAAAGCTATTGTTAGGTTTTAAAAAAATTTTTTTATACTAGTAGAAACAAATTTATTGTCAAAATAGACCATTTATTCATTAGAAATGTTTATATGAAAGTGCTACCAATTTTTATTTTTATATATGAAATGTGGATCTGTCAATTGTCGCCTTATCCTTTGTATTCTTTCCTTGTAGGCTAAAAGTAATTTCAAAAAAGAACAAAGGTGCAAAGAACTTAAGCAATTTCGAGGTGAGGATACTTGGATGTTACCTGATGTGAATGAGCGAATTGAACAGTTTTCACAGGTGAATATTCCGGTTGTGCTTGAAATAATAATAGGACTTATTTTCTTGATGTGTTTTTAGGAAGGGTCTTTCTTTGTAGCCCTGGTTGGTCTAGAACTTATTATGTAGACTAGGCTGACCTCAAAAGCACAGAAATCAGCCTGCTGCTGTCTACCAAGTGTTGGGATTAAAGGCATGTGCCACTATGCCTAGTCTATGTCTTTTCTTTTTAAAGTATGTTTCAAGTTAATATTGAGGAGCAGTTCTTTCTTTATGCTTATGTATTCTCTCTCTCTCTCTCTCTCTCTCTTTCTCGTGTGTGTGTGTGTATGTGTGTGTGTGTGTGACCTATGTGTGCGTGTCAAAGGACAACTTGCCTGAGTCAGTTCTCTCCTGCCTTGTGTCTTCTGGGAATTGAATTCATATTGTCAGTAATATGTTCACTATCAGGTGGTTAGCATTACTGAAATTTATCTCATTAGACCACAGAATATCTGTCTTCACCACAAGTTCATGATGATATGAAAAGATTTTGTTACTTGTGTTGACTGGTAGATTTAGTTATAAATCTGTGGACTATTTGTAGGAAGCTTCTAGATCTGAAAGTACATGTTTTAAGCTTTATGTCTTTATTTTTATTTAATTAATTATTTTATTTATTTTTATTGAGCCTCCTTTTCTCCCTTTACAAATTTTTAGAAGTTTGCCTTCTGGCATGTGCCCCCACAATTGGTGTAGGACTATTTATTTATTGTTTATTTGTTTGTTTTATTTTTAATTGGCAGATATTTATTGTTTATATTTACAGAGGACACTGATATTTTGATCTTCGTATACATTATGGAAAGATTTAATTGAGGTTATATACCCTTCATCCACTCACTTTTTTTCTTGTAAGAATATTAAAAGTCTGTTTTTTAGAAAATTTTAAATGTTAATATTTATTAGTTTCTGTGGTCCTGGTCCTGCACTGCCTTTCACTAAAACTTAATGGTTGTATGTATTTATCTATATGTATTTGATAATACCTGTCACATACAAATAACTTAATGGTTGTATGTATATATCTATATGTATTTGATAATACCTGTCACATACAAATAACTTAACTAAAACTTTTTTTCATATCTCCTCTGGTAAGAAATCTGAGCTACTACTTTGATTAGTAGTGCTCATCTTACAGAAAGTCTATGCAAGTTTTTTAGACAATTTTTTTTATAAATAGTCATAATTTTTGTTTCTTTTCATGAAAGATGTAAAGTTTTTGGTAGTGTGGGTTTTTCTTTTTTTGCAGTTTATTTTTATTTTTATTTTTTTTTATTAAAAATTTCCACCTCCTCCCCTCCTCTCACTTCCCTCCCTTCCCCTCCCTTTACTCCCCCTCCTTCTTCAGGCCAAAGAGCAGTCAGGGTTCCCTACCGTATGAGAAATCCAAGGTCCTTCCTGCTTCCCCCAGGTCCAGGAAAGTGAACATCCAAACAGACAAGGCTGCCACAAAACCCAACCATTCAGTAGAATCAAAGTCCAGTGCCATTGTCCTTGGCTTCTCAGTCAGCCTCCACCGTCAGCCACATTCAGAGAGTCCGGTTTGATTACATGCTCCATCAGTCCCATGCCAACTGGCCTTGGTGATCTCCCATTAGATCAGTCCCATTGTATCAGTGGGTGAACGCACCCCTCATGGTCCTGACCTCCTTGCTCATGTTCTCCCTCCTTCTGCTCGTCATTAGGACCTTGGGAACTCAGTACAATGTAGCATGGATTTTTCATTCCACTCAAAATGCCTTACTATTAAAATTATGTAAGATTAAATTATGTTTATACTTGTTCAAAATTATTAGGAACACTCTGTGAAGAAAAAGAAGAAAAAGGAAAAGCATTCCAAAAGAGTAAAGAAAGAGAGAAAAAAGAAGAGCAAGAAGCAGAAACGTGAAGAAAAGACTGAGTCAACTGACCGTTCCTCAGTGAGTAAGCACTGCAATGGAGCCCTGCACCTGTGCAGAGCAGTGGGCTGGAAGGAAAAATGTTGCGATAGAAAATGTTTACAAGACATCCATGTGGAGTTCCTGGTAATGTAGATTGTTGGTTTTAGAAAATGGGATGTCATTATTGACCTTTGTTGTTTGGAGATGTAACAGTAATGAACTGTGCAGGGAAACTGAAAGGTGCATGCCAGTACTGAAGTACCACATGGGAAGGAGAGAGAACTACTTGTATAAAAGTGGTTGGAAATTAGAAGTCAAAGCAGCAAAGAATTGTGTTAGAAAAATAAGGGAGCAGAGTTTTAAAACACTGGAGTCTATTTTTCTTTGGTATTTCTGTTTTCTTCATAGAAAGTAACATCTAAGTCTTCAAAGTAGAATTTATTTATTTATCTTTTCGGCCAAAAAGAAGAGAGTGTTGAGTAGCCAGTTCTACTCAGTGAGGACACAGAAAAAGCAAGCCAGCCAAATCTGTCATAACTTATTTTCAAGACGAAAGGGGTTAGTGTAGACAGTGATGGCAAAGAAATGTTTAGGGACGATTATTTCTCCAGACAAAATTGGGTTTTATTAGCAGGAAGTACCGCGCCAGCACGGTCTGGAACCATGAGTCTCGGCGGAGGGTGTCCAGGTTGAATGAAATCCACAGAGCACGAGGTTGAGGTGAAACAGCAGCTCGTTTATTGTTCTGCTGGGGCTAGCTTTTATACTATGGCATCAAAGGGGGAAGGGGCTGCGAAGGGACTGTCACCTGACCCAAGGAGGAACTCTTACCTGACCCCAGTAGGGGTCAAGGACTGATCACATGCATTCCACCTTCACCTGTCCCCAGTAGGGACTGTCACCTGACCCCAGCAGGGATCAAGGAATAATCACGTGCACTCAAACTTTCTCATCCAACTCCAGGAGCAGAGGGAAGTTAAGATTCTTTGCAGATAAGCACCTCAAATGGGGGCAGGGAAATATAACTCGGGGTAGCAATTCCCATAGGAAGGAAGAGAGATTACATAGTTTTAGTGACAGGAAACCATGCAAGATAAGTGCTATGATCAGGTTTCCCTGTAGTGCTCCAAATATGTGGTGGATAGAGACTGGGGAAGGAAGGGGAGCAGGAAAAATGGGGGTCCTAGCGCTATATTTGGTGATTCAGTTGTGAAGGTGACAATAAGATCTGATTTAAGACTCCTGTTTTAAAGATGGAAAGGGGGACATGTGTTAGTTGAAATTCTTTTTTGCACGTTATAGAAACTAAACAATTTAGCAGACTTGAAGAAGTCGAAAGGACGTATTATTCAGGTATAAATATTCAGGTAAAACATTTAAATATAGGAGTAAGCTTAATCCCAGTGACGTGAATTTAGAATTGGAGTTGTAAGCGCTTTATAATCATAACTGGTCCATTTTTTTTTCCACTTTTCAACACACAGTTAGGTCCTGACAGTGTCTTTCAAGTTCTCTTTGCTTTTACATCAGCCCATTTGACTTCATTGTCAAATTCATTGACAAATAACTGTTTTGGCTAGAACTGTAGTTGGGGCTGGGATTGAGGTATGCTCATAGGGCAGTGATGTAGTGTTTGCTCCATGGACTATTTGACTAGTGTTTTGGAGATGAAAATCAGCTTGGATGGGTGGGCGAGATGATCCTGTAATTCCTGACTTGATGATGCCAGGTAACCCAGTTTAGTAATTCAGTAGGCGAAACAGACTTTGTGGAAATGAAGAATTTGTTGTTCTTGAGTTTAGCATAACACTCAAGATGGTAATTAAGTCACTAAAGCTTTGGTTGTACAAATACATAAAGGAAGAAGAAAAAAGGTAATTAAAACGATGAGAATGAATATAATGGGGGCAAAAGAGTGTGTAGAGAATAAATTATATTAGTGATAAGGTGGAACCTCAGGAGGGCTTAAAATCTGAGTAAAGGATGGAGAATATAGGAAGAAAATAAAGAGTAAACATTGAGGGTTGGACTGAAGAACATCTTGAAAATTTTGAATGTGAGTCATCAGCAGAGTTGAAGTTCTGGAGATAAAGACTGGAATATTTTGTTGAGCTTGGAGATGTTGCAGCCATTTATGAAGTTTGAAGAATTGTCACTAGATTAATGTGTATGATAGTTATGAGCTTAGAGAACTGTTTGATTGGGCAATTCCTTTTCAGTGATATTGTCCTAGAAAAGGGTTGGAGGACGAATCGCTGCTCTAATCATACATAAGGCAAGGAAATGCCCCCATCCGAAAAGAAAGGGATTCGAAATGCTGAAGCTCACACATCTCTAGGCCATCAGGGCCCTTCCTTTGAAGCAACTCAGAAAGAAAGACTGAGACCAAAATCCTTGGAGGAGGACCTTCCAGCAGCAGGAGCATTGACAGGAGGATCGATCTAGCACAACTGTCAGTAACTTTGCCAGGGGTTGGGGGAGAGATAGAAAGCGAAAGTGACCTCTTTTTGGTAAGGTAAGACAAGAGATCATTTGTCCTGCGTATAGGAAATGTTAATTGGTAAGAAAAAAAAAAAACTCCAGGAAGGTATGAAGAAGGTAACAGTGGTCTGGTTATTAGAGTGGGTCCAAAGTTGGCAAAAGTGACTGTGGTTTCTGTGGTCATAGAACTTACTACCTAAACCAATTAAGGATCAGTAAGGTGAACTCTAGTTTCATTAGTGTCTAGTTAACTGAAATTGCAGGAGGTGATGGCTTCTGCACTAGTTGGAACAGGGTGATAAAGTTCCCAGTGGCTCAAACTAATGAGGTCAAGTCACTAGTCACATAGAGAAAATTCTCACTTTAGAATTCCTGTAACAGGACACAACAGAACTCAAACTTCATTGTTATTTTCTTCATTTTAGCAAACTGGCCCTCTTTCCCCCCAACGCCCCCAAAGTGCCAGTTGTTTCAGGCTGTAAATCCCGATTTTAGTGCATGGCATCAAGAACTGTGATTGAGGCACTAAAGTGACTTGACAATATAAACTTGAGTTAGGCTAAACTGTGTGTGTGTGTGTGTGTGTGTGTGTGTATCTACTTTATATATAATGATTATTTTATATCTATATATGAAATGATTATTTTTAAAAATATGTGAATATTTTTATTTTATTCATATGTAAATATGAATAAGTTGTGGCGTTTCAATACAAAATAAGGCATGAATGAGTAAATAGAATCTGCTTTGGGAAACAGTTGGCAGTTAATATGACAGAACATAAGTATGTTTTACGTATTTCTTATATCACAGATGTAGTTGTGGCTAGAGCCACATCAGTAGAGCATTTGCTCCTTTTTCAGGGTACTGAAGTTCAGTAGTTCTTAGCCCCCACATTGGGTGGCTCACAACAGCCAACTATAGTTCCAACTCCAGGATATCTAGACCATGTGCTACACACACACACACACACACACACACACACACACACAAATTGTCTTAGGATTCTACTGCTGCGATTAAGTACCATGACCAAAGAGCAAGTTGGGAAGAAAGCATTTATTAGGCTTATAGTTCAGCATTGCTTTTCAACACTGAAGGAATTCGGACAGGAGCTCAAAACAGAGCAGGATCGTGGAAGCAGGAGCTAATGCAGAGGCCATAGAAGGGAGCTGCTCACTGACTTGCTTTCCTTGGCTTGCTCAGCTCATCTTTTTATAGAATCCAGGATCAGCAGCTCAGGGATGGCACCACCCACCATGGGCTGGGACCTCTCCCATTGATCACTAAAAGAAAAAATGCCTTACAGTTGGATCTCAAAAAGGCATTTCCTCAGCTGAGGCTCCTCCCTCTGATGATTCTAGAACACAGACCACACAAAAACCACCCAGTACAACTGACCCCTTGTCAACTTGATATCACTACTAAACCCCAACTCTTCCTTTATTATTCCTCCCCAAGATCTCACATTAAGAACATAAAAGTTCCACTGTCTTTACAAATTCAAACACATTAAAATTTTAGTAACCAATCTTAAAATCTAAGGTTTTTCAAAATTCAAAGTCTCTCAACTGTGGACTCCTGTAAAATAATGATCCTACTTTAAGAGGGAGAAATCGGGATACAGTCACTATCAAAGCAAAACATAATTTCAACTGTTCAATATTTGGGATCCACTCATGATCTTCTGAACTCTTCAAGAGAGCTTGTATCACTTCTCTAACTCTGCCTTCTACAAGACATACAACTTGTCTTCTGTTCACTGACTGGCTCTACTCCATTGCTTCTGCTGTTCCTCATGGTCATTCCATGGTACTGGCATCTTCAAAATGCTAGGATCTCTCACTGCAACTGGGCTGCACTTTCACCAATAGCCTCTACTAGGCTCTCTTCATGCTTCTTTGCATGACTCCTTCAGTCCTGGACCTTCAGCTGCCACTGAGACTGCACCTTCACCAATGGTCTTTCCTGGCCTTGCATAGTGCGAAACCTCAGCTGCTTTCCATGACCCCTTCATGCCTTCCAAAACAGTACCACCTGGGTGATGCTCACACATATCCAAGTCCAGATGCCAGCACGAGGTACAACCTTGGCTGCCTCCCTATGCTGTCATAAAACATTTCCTAGAAGACTTCACCTCAGTGATGCTGGTGTCTTCTTAATCACCACTAATTTCTTAGCTCTAAAGAGCCAGCATCCAGTATCCTAGCAAAGCAAAATGTTGCTTTAGTAGTATTGCTATCTTATTGATCACAACTCATTCTTCAACCCCAGGTAACCAGAACCACAGGATCTTAATTCAAAATAACACATGGCCCTTTAAACTTCTCTCTGAAATTTCAGAAGTCAGGCCTCCGTCTTCTGCATTATTCTTAACATTCTTCCAAGCTCATAGAGTGTCCCACTGAGCTCTTAGTATTCACTGATTCTTATCGCCCAAAGTTAGGACCAGTGTCGTTAAACAGTCCTCACCAAAGCATAGTCAGGTCTGTCCTACTAATACCCCACTAAGCTGTACCAATTTGTCTTAAGGTTTCTATTACTGCGATGAAACACCATGACCAAAAGTTAAGATGGGGAAGAAAGGGTTTATCTTGCTTACATTTCAGCATTGCTGTACATCACAAAAGGACAGGAACTCAAACAGGGCAGAATCCTGGAGGCAGAAGCTAATGCAGTGGCCATGGAGGGGTGCTGCTTACTGACTGCTCCCCCTGGCCCATTCAACTCAACTTCTGATAGAACCTAGGACCTCCTGCCCAGGAATGGCACCACGCACCATGAGCTGGGCCCTCCCTCAATGAATACTAAATGAGAAAATGCCATCCAGCTGGATCTCCTCAAGGCATTTTTTTCAACTGAGGCTCGTTCCTAGCTTGTGTCAAGTTGACTCAAAAAACCAACCAGTATACAAACAAATCTTTAAAAATGCTTTTAGGCAGTTTTGAGGAATTTCATGGAAGAGAGAAGAGCATCAGTTTTTTTTTTTTGGGGGGGGGGTCTTGATTCAGTTGGTAAAAGTGTTTGCTGTACAAGCATGAGACCCTAAATCTCAGTCACTAGCACCCATGTAAACTGGCATATCTTCACATGCCTATAACTCAAGCACTGTGTGGAAACTGAGACAGGAGGTTTTCTTGGTCTTACTGGCTGCTGAGGCCAAGTTCATTCAGAGACTCTTAACAAGGGAATAAGGTGGAGAGTGATAGAGCAGGGTCACCAGCCCAGATGTTATTAGAGATTTCTGCAGTTTAGGTCTAGGGAAATCCCCAAATTTTACACTTATGGCAAACAGTGAACTCCTTTGCATGGTTGTTATTTCCCCTATTTAGACAAACTTATGAGTTCATTTAGATGTTGGTAGAAATTGAGCCTTGTTTTGGTGCTTTTCTTCCTAGCTTTTTATTTTACCTTTTGATATAACTCATGAGAGAAAGAATGAATTTGGTGTGTCTTTTGGGCTCAAGCCAAAGTAGGATTTTCATGTTATTTCTTGAGGTTTTCCCATATTTTTTTTCAAAAGGGAAAAGCAATGAAAGTATCTCTTCTAATAAGCTGAATTATTTCCACTTAACATCAGAATTTTATATATAAGTATGCAAATTGTGAATGTTATGTTTATGCTCTTCTAGAGCTCTGAAGAGTGGGTGGAGGCTGTTCCCTCCCAAATACCTGACAAAGAAAAGACCTGGAAAGTGAAAGACAAAAGTCTAGAAAAAGAATGTGACAGCCATGCTATGCAGGTAAGCACCCACCTGATTTAGAGAGAAAAGGCTTCTAAGTACAAATGGATATTAAACTGATGATTATAACTTGTTCAGGAGAATTATACTTTAGCAGTAATTTATGAAGCCTCTCCTCAGAAATGCTGAATGCTGTAGCCTTCTGCTATGGAAGGTAGATGTTTATCTGTACTGCAGCCCTTCAGGGCTTCCTCACCTGTGATTGTTGGCATTTTCCTATTTTCCTCTTTTTTTTTTTTTTTAAGATTTATTATGAATTCGGTGTTCTGCCAGGCCAGAAGAGGGCACCAACTCTCATTACAGATGGTTGTGAGCACATGTGGTTGCTAAACTTGAACTCAGGACCTCTGGAAGAGCAGGCAGAGCTCTTAACCACTGAGCCATCTCTCCAGACCCAGCATTTTCCTCTTTTAATGGATTTACCAAATACTAGAAGTCTCTGAATCTCTTGGATGTGTCAGTTTCAGCTTTTCTTTCTCTTCCCTTTATGTTGCAATTTGCTTAGCAATGCTTATAGTTGAATAGCAAGTAAATTTTGAGTTCTGGTTCATATGCCTAAGAAAGAATATAATTTACCCACTTAGCCATGGATACAGGAGAAAAGGTAAACAGGACCTACCATTTTATTGTGTATGCCAGGTTAGCAAAAACAAGACGCTTCTTGAGAGTGGCTAACCACTTATGTTTGTTCCTGTTTGATGCCTGCAGTCTCTGATATTAAGAATGTCTTAAGTACAAATTAAAATGGCTTCATTCTTTTAAACAGCGGGATGAGTGGATGACTGTTGATTTTATGTCTGTTAAAACTGTCTCTTCATCATCACTCAAAGCCGAAAAGGAAACTCTAAGGAAAATAGAGCAGGAGAAAGCCCAAGCACTAGAGCAGGTAAGAGAGCAGTTTCAATGTTTTCATTTTTGAATTGCCTTAAAATAAATACCTTATTTGTAATACTATTTAAAGTATGTTTTAAAATGGTATTTGATAACAGTGATACCTAAGAAATGTGAAACTAATTTTTAAAAAGTAAATTTCTTGTAGAAAAGCTGTTTAAAAGCATCCTAGAGCTTGAGAGATGTTCAGTAAGAATACAGACTGCTGTATCAGGGAACTCAAATTGGGTTTTCAGCTCCCACATGATAGCTGACAGCCATCTATAACTCCAGTTCTAGAGGTTTATTGTCCTCCTTTGGCCACTGGGGGCACTGCATACATGTGGCACACAGACATACATGCAAAGCACTCATACACATTAAGTAAAAATAGATATTTTTTTTTAGAGATATATACTGAATTCAAGCTGGAAAGATGGATCAGTGGTTAAGAGCATGTATTGCTCTTACAGAGGACCCAGATTCAATTCTCAGAACCCACAGTGCGTAATTCATGGCTGTGTGTAACTCCAACTTTAGGAGAGCCAATACATCTGGCCTGGGCAGGCATTTGTACACATGTTCACATATTTACATCTAAACACAGGTACATAAAATTATCTTTTAAAAGTCATCTTAGATGTGTAAATCTAGGTGAATGTAGTTGAGCAATTAATATCTGTTACATGACTGTCGTGAATTACAGTTGAACTATCAACAGAGCCTTCGGTGTGTACACAAATTACTTCTAAGAATGCTTTCAAGATGCTTAGAACGTCACAGGAAGTATTAAACAAGCATTTTATGCTATTGTTTTCACACTGATGTCCTGAAAACAATGGGAAATCCTTAGAGACCACAAAGTATAGAAATGCTTTGAGATTGTCTTATGATTTCCCTTAAATGTAATACAGATCAACAGGTGAAACATGTAGCAAAAGATTTTGAGAGTTCTATGGTCAGTGTTGTTTTTTGTTTTTTCTCACTCTAATTTTAAATATAAGTGTATAATTGTATTGTAATCAAGCTGCTACCTGTGTGGAACATCGGAGGACATGATTTTTGGAATGTCTTGTCCAAGTTTTGGGATGTCTTGTCTAAGTCTCTGAGTTAGACTTGATGGTTCTGAGAAGCAGTAGGTGTTCACTAAAGATACCTGACGTTGTTAGACATTGTTATGGGCAAGTTCCATAATATGTCTTAATATTTTTACATGATATGATGATGCTTTTTTATCCAACAATTAGCCACCTCAAATGATTTAGTCATTTCCATGGTGATTGACTTTTACATTGTAACCTTTCAAAATGTTTTGTTCTAGTCCAAACTGCTAGAAAGAGAATTGAATCCATACTGGAAGGATGGTGGGACAGGTATCCCATCAGAAAATTGTATACTGGCGGTTACTAAAGGTATCTTTATATTTTTTGTAGACTTGTGCGCATAGCTCAGTTTCTGATAATGAGGATGGTAAAGATCATTAAAGTATATTATGTACTTGTGTGAAAATGTCATATTGAAACCCACTATTTTGTGCAGGTAATATATACTAATAAAAGAGTACAAATTCTTAAAGTTTAATGTTCCTAAGAGAATGACTTGAGTTTATATATAACAAAATATGTATGAAATATCTGCAGTCTTTTGAAATCTTACTTAAGTCATTATGGAAATTTTACTATTATGTATTTTGCAACAAGATAATTCAGTATATATTGTTCATAATAGCCATCATTTGCAAGTTTCTCTTTTAAATGGGCTAAGACAAAGCATGGTTATATGAAACTTTATATTGCATGCGATTTGTTAAATTCTATAGCAAAATGCAAAGATGTATTTAGTTAAAATTTATGCAAATAATGTATGAACATTAATGATGCGATTTTATTGCTTTTAGAAATTCCTCATTTGTCAGGATTCACAAAATTTTTGTTGTTCTTAGGAGGAGAGTGCTATTGTTTTCTACTCAATGGAGAAAATCTTTTGAGTATCACTAGTGCTCAGTATTGCCAATTCAGTGATAAGTTCAAATACAATTTAGCCAGAATAAAATAATATTATTAATAATAATGTTATTTTTTGCCTTAGTTATTTATCAGTAAGATATTTTGTTTTATTTATAACTCATTTTTATTTGGCTGCTTCTTAAAGATTCTTTGTGTGGACATGAAGCCACTGAATTCACTCAAAGATATCTTTAGAATTCTTAATTAGTAATTTTACTAAGTTATAGCACCTGTGTGTTGTACATGGAGTTTTTCTGTCCTGACCTCCTGTTCCCAAATAACCACTCAGAGTCTTAGTATTAATTGTAATTGCTTAGCCAATAGCTCAGGCTTATTATTAACTGGCTCTTATATTTCAAATTAACCCATATTCCTTATTTATACTCTGCCACAAGACAGTACCTTTTTTAACATGGCATGTTCATCTTCTGTTCCCTCTGCATCTGTCTGGCAGCTTCTTTGACTCTGCCCTCCTTTCCAGTGTCCTTAATTTGGTTGTCCCAACATATTTCCTGCCTGGCTACTGGCCAATCAGCTTTTCATTAAACCAATCCAAGTGACAAATCTTCATTCACAGTGAACAAAAGGATTTTTATACAGCAGCACGTTTTATTTTGTTTTTTTTTCTCATGGACAGAAATGTCTCTACCAGATTAAATAATAGTAATGGTAGTCATATAAAGCTCTCTTTGAAATACAACTTTCTAGAAAGTTATTAGGTAGGGAACAATGAGTTAGCTCAGTCTGAGACTGGTCAGGTGATTTGTCTGTAGTCAGGTAAGTAGTTAAGGGACCGGGCCTCAGATTCACATTGAAGCATTCATTACTGCAGATTATTGAGAAGACTGATTTTTTTCATGTGCTTAGCGGACACTGATTTATGGACTTTTTCAGCGAGTTCTGGTTGATTCTTCCTCCTCTTCTCTTTTTGGACTTTTCTGTCAGAATCTTTAAGTTGAAAGGACCTTTAAAGGTGGTTTAATTGAATACTTTATTTAGTATGAAGATGCAAAAATTCAAAACGAATGGCTTGTTTTTTGATGTTATAAATATTTTGTATTTAGTAGTAGCAGCAAGACTGAAGTCTAGGTTTCCTAGTGGCTTAGTTTATTGTTTTTTTTTTTTCCTGTGTATTGTCTTTAGAGAGAAATGGGAGAGATTTCTAGTATTTGGTTGTATTTTGTTTGTTATAGCATAGCATAGCTTGTTAAAACCATGAAATTGAAACTTAATTTTACACTTACTCAAAAAGTTAGTTGTGGGATACAGCTATATATATATATATATATATATATATATATATAAAACACTGAATTTACTATAATTGCTGATAAAAATTTTTTTAAGCACAGGCAGGTAAAACTATGCTTATGGTTTTTGGCTATGGTGTGTTTTAACAGTTTTCCTGAATGTTAAATATTTATTAAGGACTTCTTGATTGAATCTGAGGATGCTGCTTCAAGTTCTTTTTCCTTTAACATTGGGTAATTTCTCAGCAGTATATTAGTATCAATCCTGGTGGTAAAATTAATAAGACTGTTAAGTTTATTTTGTCAATCACAGCTGATGATGCACAGATATTCTCAAAGTTAGGATGCAGGTTGTGACTGAATTGTTGGATTTTTATTGGTTTTATAGGTTTCCTGACTGATTTTTATTCCAGTTAGGTTTCACACAAAGCAGCATAGGGGAAGCAGTCTTAATTTTGTTTTCCTGAATTTCTCTCTGGACTTCTAATATCATACTGACCGTTGAGGAGAGATTTTCATGGTGCCCAGTTGTTATTTGATCAGGGTCTAATTATGTATCCGGTAATATTAATAAAGACATAAATTGCTGTGGGTTTTCACTTATAACTATGCTGACCACAGATTTGGGCTAAGTTCCTTGAGTGCTGACAGTATATAATATATGCTATATAAGTAAAAAAGCCCAAGTGAAATAACATTTTGAACGAAAAGTGCCATCATTAGAGATCTGGGCTTTAATCACAAAGTGTTTTAGATCTGTAAAGAAAGCCCTCTTTGTATTAGAAGAGATTGCTTAGTAATGTTGAGATTTGAGTAAAATAATAGTTAATGTGAATATAATTTAAAAATCTGTTTTGATTTTAGTTCTGTCTTTAAATTTAAAAATATTTTTGTTACTTTTAGTTATACATACATGTGAAGTGGGGGTGTTATGAATGCAGGTGTCAATGCTGACCAGTTATGTCAAATCTGGAGCTAGAATTATAGATAATTGTGAGCCAACTTATGTAAGTGTGGGAACTGAGCTCTTGAATCATCTGCTAGAGACAACACATCATGCTGCTAACCTCTATTCCTTCCTAAGCCTCTTTTCCAAGTCTGACATACATAGAAAAGTACCTAAACCACAAGTGAAACAGAATGAAGTGTCATAGAGTGTTAAACGCTTTCATCCCCTTCTAGTAACTGTTCTGTTCACTGGAGGGGGAGCCACTGACCTATTTTCTACCACCAAAGATGATTTGTGCTCTTCATCTTTTTAATTCTTTGTCCACATTTGAAGTTCCTCCATATTGTTATGAATAACTAGTTCATTCATCCTCAAGGCTGTGTAGTAGTCCATTTAAGAATAGATCATGATCCCTGTGTCCCTCTCTGATCTTGACTATTTTCATGTTAGGCTATTGGTAGGCTGTTCTAATATGAACATTCTTGTACTTGTCTCCAGGAGCTTGTATTTCTTGGCTCTAGAGCTAGCGGGATCTAAAGCTGTCCTTATTGGAACAGGGAATATTAGAAACAGAGTTTTAATTTAAGTAATCAATTAAATTTCTTTGTATCAATTGAAAATAGGACAAAACACACATACACACACACACACACACACACACACAGAGTTCATTGAAGGCATTCAAATGTTGATAACTGCTAATCACAACTAAGGTTTAACTTAATGACATTGTCTTCTATAACTTTTCTTATTTATTATGTTGCTTTCTTCACTGTGTACATTTATTTCTTATTTCTGGGCGGGGCAATCCCCTATATTTGTTACATTAAGTCTAACTGGAAGATCAGAGAAAGTTTCATAGAATATTGCTTAGGCTAAGCATGATGAGTCATGCTTTTAATTCCAGGATTTAGGTGACAGAGGCATAGATATCTCTGAGTTCAAGGCCAACAACCTGGTCTACCAGGCCATTTAGGGCTGCATAGTAAGACCCTGTCTCATTAAACAAACAACTAACCTTAACATATATAATTTTATGCTTGTTCTCTAAAATTGGTATTTACTTACAGGTAGTTTGTTTCTCCTTCCTTTTTTCATCATGACAAGCCTTTGTAGCTTGTATAGGTAGGTATTTAAATGTATGGTGAATATTAATTGTGATTATAACTTTAAATTAATCAAGGAAAGTATTTAATTTTATACTTTAAAAGTGCTAGAAACAGTATTTGTTTTAATAACCACCTTAGAAATACGACTGATTTTTATTATTGGAATTTAGCTTCAGGAGTAGAGGATGGTGGATTAAGCTGGCTAAGAAAGTCTTATCAAAGAATGAAAGAACAAGCTCAAAGAGAAAACAGAAATTTTGTGGATATTGTAGCTGAAAAATATGGGGTAAGTATTTGTGCTTTAAGAAGATATGTATTGTTTCATAGTTATTTGAAAACAATATCTTTGTTTTGAATAATGAAGCAATTTGAATCAAATAATATTAGATATATCTTCATTCTTTTAAGTAATTTTCTGTATCTTCTTATGCAAGGATGTTGCTTAAAAATGTTTTACACTTATTTCTGTATTTGTACTCAGTAATGTACACATGCCATAGGGCCCATGTGGAAGTTACAGGAGTCATTTCTCTCCTTCTATTATGTTGTTATCTTATATATGTGGTCCCATATGAATTTAAGTCATGATGCTTGTTAGTAGTTGCCTTTAGCCTCTGAGCCATCTTGCAAACTTAGCCTACATCTTTTTAAGATTAACACAATGAATGCAAAGCCCTAGTGTTTAAAACTTGAAATGTGTGTATGTTTAATATAAAAGTAGAATTTTTCTCATTGGAAGAAATTTTAAATAATGCAGGGGATTCTCTGTAGTACACCTTTAGAGATAAGCATTGTTGACGTTTTTGTTGACTCTAGAGTTTCATATTTTGTAGCATTTTGCAGCGTGCCTATACTTTAGCATGTATTTTTTAAGCCATCATGATGTCTTTTCAGGTAATGTTTTAATTGCATACCTTGTCTGTGAATCAGTTCCCTCTTGCATAGTCCTTTCCCTGTCAAGTTTTTGCAAAGATTTTTATTTTGAGTAGAATTAGATGTAATAGTCTTTCTCCTTCTATTCCCATCTGAAAAGGCCATTCTGTTCAAGAAAATCAGTTATGTGGAATCCTCTATTTTTTTCATGCTTTTCTTTCACCATCCTTTTCTTTGGAAGACTAAAACACAGTTATAAGGGTCTCTAGAATCAAATGTTTACATATCTTTTTTCCCCCTCTCAAAACATGCATCTACTTGCTGTTGATTTCCAAACTATATAAAATTCCCTGGTCAATTTGATTTTTTTCCCCAGGATCCAGACTCCCTGTGTATTTTCCATCCTTTTTATATTATTCTATTCTCTGTTTTTAAACATTTCTTTATTGAATCTTTGGAGGTTTCACATTAAGTACCCCAATTCTGTTCACGTCCCTCCATATCCCCTCTCATCCCTTTTGCATTCCCACAAAGAAAGAAAACTAAACAGAGTAAGCAAGCAAGCAAAGAAAAGCAAGAACAAAAAACCCTCCCCAGTAAACCAAAACAGAACAAAAACAACACCATGAACAGAAAAATTTCTGCTTCTCCTTCTTTTCTGACTCTCTATCACTTTTTCATCTATCCTGGTGGCATTGGAGGCTATCGTGTGTCATGCAGAATACACCTTTGTCCCATCAGCTTGACTGGCAACAGCTCATTGCAGTAAGTCCTTGGTCTGGTTCAAGCCCTCCGATTTATAGTACACCATCCTCACTGGATTATCACCAGAGCTCTTCTAGGATATCCTGAGCCCCAACTGGTGGGAGGACAGACCAGCCTGCCTGATGCAGATGTGCTCAGATGGGGACTTCCCAGCAAATAAGAAGAAAACCAGCCCGGGTCCTTGGGCCCAGACTGGCAGTCAGTCTGATTTTTGAGAATTTATTTCATTCAGTGTACCTAAACTTTCCCCCGTCATTTTAGGAATTTTTGTAAGTTGTATCTATTGTGAAGAACATTTATTCTCAGTGTATCCCTTTTTGAAATACTTCAATTTGATTTGATTATTTTTCTTTATCTACTTATGCTTTCTAAAGTATTATTGGTGTGTGGTGATTTTTAAGGTTGTGTCTACGTTGGTGGGACATTTTTATTGTACCATGTAACAATGTATCATAACACAGTGGAACCTTTCTTAATTGTAGATATGTTATTCTCTTCTATAGTCAATGGAAATATTTCAGTCAAAATTAAAAGAAGCTGAAAAAATTGCATGCAAAAGAGAAGATTATGAACGGGAACGGTGGAGGAAGCCTGCATATTCAGATAGTACGCAGTGTAGTCAAGCAAGTAGCATTTCAGACTTAGTGAAATGTAAGAAGGACTCAAAGGACAGACATTTTGCTACAGAGGTTGCAAAGAGGAGCATTGACGACTGTGAGTTTAGTGACCCTGACACAAGGAACCGATCTGGATCTTTAGAAACTTGTATAAGAGTATCCGCCTTAAGACAAAGGCAAGAATCTTCTGGAAATTTGAGACCTAAATTCTTAAGACCCTCTGATGAGGATGAACTGTCACTTCACAACAAAAGGAGAAATTTTGAACCGTCTACTTCGTCTTCTACATTAGTGACTCAGGCTTCTTTGCATTGTGATTTTCAAAAATCCACAAAGAGCAGTGAAGAAAATTTGACTTCCTGGAGCCTGTGTGGTAGGCAAGGAGGAGACCGAAAGCATTCAGATCAAAAGCCATTGGAAACCTGGAGCAGCAGTGCTGATCAGTGCTCTCCAGGACACAGGAGAGAACAGTTGCAGGCTGAGAGCTTGAGGGGTGACCCACCAAGAAGAGGACATCTGCAGAACATAAAGGCAGCATTTTCTGGGTATTATAAGTATTTGTATCTTTTCAGTTAGGTTCTTGGGGATTATATGAAACTTGATTTTGTCATAGGGGTGACTCTTTTGGAGGTTAAAAAAATGTATTCTAAAGATAAGGACTAACTTCCACTTAAATCCTTAAAATGGATTAAAACTCTAGGGAGATAACTGAGATAGCGGGAGTAGCAGTATGTATCTATAAACTCAGTGCTCCAGCAGAACGATGGGAGGTGGAAACAGGAGAAGCCGCTGAAGCTAATGAGCCAGATAGCATTGGAAACTGAAGCAGAAGTTTTGTTATATGACTGGATAACCATGGCAGGAATTAGAGAAAATTAATGTGTACAGTAACAAAAATGAGAGCCTGTTTCAAACAACCCAGAAGGCAGCACCAACACTAAAGATTGTCCTCTGACCTCCACACTCTTACTATGTGCCACTGAAAGGAAAAATATTGATTGAGTAACCATTGGAGGGATTAGAAGAAATCAAACTACATGGGTTTATTTTGGGTGCCTTTTTGTTTCAAGTCCCCAACTGCCAATGGATGATGTCATTAAGTATTGATATCATTAATACTGGCTTAGCATTTGGGCACAATGTGCTGGTCTTGTTTCCTTTGAAGGTAGATGAGCCATGTGTGCAGAACTTTCATACAAACATTGTTACTTTTCTATCTGGTTGTTGAATTGCTTCATTTCTGTTATGTCTTCTGACATTGTAGATTTCTGGTACTTACAATACAGGAATGTAATGCAGGCCCTGTGGTCTGTCTGATTTTTTTTTTTTTTTTGCCAGTTTTAGTTTTTAATTAGACTGGGACTAAAAGGAGTATATCTGTAGATAATAGCAGAAACAAACATTTGGGAAGATTTATAAAATTTTATCCTTTTGAAAATGTGATATACCAAAAGGCCAATTTACAATTTTTCTTGAGATTTTTTTTTTCTGGATGATTTGTCCTTTTTCTACAGATGTCTCATCTGTCCAGGGGTCTTGGATTTTTTTTTTTTGAAAGTAAATTTTATTAAATTATAAAAGTTTCCATTTACGCCCCTCTTCCCAACACCCTCCCACTCCCCCCCTCCCTCTCCTCCTCCCTCTTTGTCCCTTAGGGCAGTCAGGGTTTCCTGCCCTGTGGGAAGTTCAAGTTCCTCCCCCCTCCCTCCAGGTCCAGGAAGGTGAGTATCCAAACAGACTGGATCCCCAAAATCCAGTATATGCAGAGGAAACAGGTCCCAGTATCATAGTCAATGGCTTTTCAGAAAGACTTTGGGCCAGCCACATTCAGAGAATCCGGCCAAATTCCGAGAATCTGGTTAGATCACGTCCTCGTTCAGTCCCAGTCCAACTGGCCTTGGTAAACTCTCATTAGATCCGTTTCCTTGTATCAGTGGGTGATAGCATCCCTGGCAGTACTGATTTCGTTTTTCATGTTCTTCCTCCTTCTGCTCCTCATTTGGACCTTGGGGGGCTCAGTCCGGTGCTCCAATGTGGGTCTCCGACTGTATCGCCGTCCTTCGCCAGATGAAGGATCTATGGTGATAAGCAAAATATACATCAGTATGGTTATGGGCCACGGCCGATTCAGGCACCCTCTCCTCTGTCCAGAGAACAATCTGGGGGATCTCTCCTTGGACCTGGGATCCCATATATAATCAAGTCTCCTGTAAACCCTAAAATGACTCCCTTAGTTGAAATATATTCTTCCCTGATTCCCATATTCATCCTTCCTCCCTCCGCCCCCCATCCCAGGCCACCGAGCTTTCCCCATTCCTCCCCTACTCCCTTCTCTCTAACCCTCTCCCCTTCCATCAACCCTCCCACCCCCCCGATGCACCCGAGGTTACCTGGGACTCTTGTCTATTTCCTACCTCCTGGTGGATAGCTAAATAATCTTCATCAGGTTCATCTTATTTAGCTTCTCTAGGATCACGAATAATAGGCTCAAAGACCTTTAATTATGGTTAGAATCCACTTATGAGTGAATACATACCGTGTTCCTCTTTTTGGGTCTGGCTTACCTCACTCAGTAAAGCGTTTTCTATGTCCATCCATTTGCATGCAAAATTCAAGATGTCATTGTTTTTTACCGCTGAGTAAAACTCTAATGTGTATATGTTCCACACCTTTTTTAACCATTCTTCTATTGAGGGCACCTAGGCTGTTTCCAGGTTCTGGCTATTACAGATAGTGCTGCTATGAACATAGTAGAACAAATGCTTTTGTAGTATGTTAGGGAACAAAAGGCTGCCTTCTGACTGGGAGAAGATCTTCACCAACCCCTCATCAGACAAAGGTCTGATCTCCAAAATATACAAAGAACTCAAGAAACTAGGCACTAAAACTCTAATTAACCCAATTAAAAAATGGGGTACTGAACTTAACAGAGAATTCACAACAGATGAACTTCGAATGGCCAGAAGACACTTAAGGTCATGCTCAACCTCCTTAGCGATCAGGGAAATGCAAATCAAAAGAACTTTGAGATACCATCTTAAACCTGTCAGAATAGCTAAAGTCAAAAACACCAACGATAGCCTATGCTGGAGAGGATGTGGGGTGAGGGGAACACTCATCCATTGTTGGTGGGAATGCAAACTCGTGCAGCCACTGTGGAAATCAGTGTGGCGGTTTCTCAGGAAACTGGGAGTCAACCTCCCTCAGGACCCAGCAATTCCACTCTTGGTCTGTCTGATTTTATTTTTTTCAGATTAGTTAATTTGATGTTAGAAAAAATTTGTAACTTTTTATGAATTCCATGATTAGCTGGAGAGTAAAAGAAGAATTTAGGAATCATCCCTATATATTTGGAAGAAAAATATTTCCGAGTGATCGAGTAGTGGTAAGGAAGCAAGAATGCCAGAAAGTGTCAGTGAAGGAATGCTCAAACCTATTAGTGTGTCTGGACGTTGTTGTGAGATATGTTTGATTGTTAAACCAATGCTAGGATTCTAGGAATTTTTAAAACCAATGAACTTCTGAACTGTAGAAAGGTTACTAGCCTAATTTTTGAACCAGAAGAGATCATAGTCTGAGCCTTGCATTTTTCAGCTTTGAAAACTGTGGGAATTGAAGTTGTAATCCTCATCATATTGTTGCTTGACTTAGTGAATAAAAAAATTATTTTAAGCAGTTGGACATATTTATATGAACTATAACAAATAGAAAACCCTGTTGCTAACCTGGAATTTGAATGTAACTAGATTTATACATTTTATCTGGCAGCTCTGTAGCCCACTAAATTTTTACTAGATACATATATTTTTGAAAAACAACTTTCCCCTAATATTTGTTTCCTTAAGTAAGTGGTGCTTTTGTGTGGTTGGTTTCTTTTTCTCTATTTGCATCATTGGTAGCTTTCTTTTTCTAACCATTCTTTCATTTTCTTTCATAGGATCACCTTTAGTATTTCTCCTTCATACTTTTTTGAGCCTGATTATCTTGTAGGAAAACATCATCTAATAGTTGGTCACATGAATTAAAGCTTTAGGCTCATTATTCTTAGAGACAAAATTGTGTTTGTGTATATTTTTATTTTGTTGGAAAAAATATATTAACAAGCACTTTTAGAAGCCTAAAACCCAGAGTGCTACTTTAAATGAGTAGAACATATTTTGTCCTTAATTTAGAGTTTAAATGTGTCAGAAACTAACACATTTAATATACTATTTGTACCTTTGTCTCTGATCTTGCCAGTTTGGCATTATAGCACAGAAGGGCAAGAGAAGGCTGTCAGACTCTTAGTTTCTGAGTAAGGTTCTGAGATAGGAGTGAAAATGTGAGAGTGTGGTGAGAAGAGCATAATTACAGAGATCAGTGACCACAGCCATCAGAAAAAGGAAAGCTGAAATATACTCAAATTTTCTACAATGTCAGTGAACTGACTGTAAACAGAGATTACACTTCTGTTTCCTGGCCTCCCAGACCTAAATAATCACACAGAAACTATCTTAATTACAACCCTGTTTGGCCAGTGGCTCAGAAGTATCCTAGCTAGCTGGTCCATCTTAAATTAATCCATTTTATTAATCTATGTATTGCCACAAAACTGTTTCTTACCATAGGTAATGTTCTGGCATCTTTCTCCTTTGGGCGGCTATATGGTATCTCTTCTACTATGCCTACTCTCTCTCTCTCTCTCTGTCTGTCTCTGGATTTCCCACCTTGCTTTACTCTCCTAAACCATTGGCCAAAACATCTTATTCATCAACCAACAAAAGCAACACATGTACAGAAGAACATTCCACATTCCAGAACTCTGATTATCTCCTCGGTAGAGGTTTGGTGCTCGTGTGTGTGTGTGTGTGTGTGTGTGTGTGTGTGTGTGTGTGTGTGTGTACACGGGTGCATTCGGGTGTGCTTTGAAAATATACATTTTAATGGGAAACTGATTTTTATAGAAACTAATTATGAAGGAGACTGCAGAAAAATCTCTAATCCAGGAAAATGAGACATTACCATACTTCTTTCTTACATAAAGTATGGTAGCAGATAGGGTTATGTTTCTTTCTAAGTGTCCGTTCAGTGTTGCAGATGGTTAGAGAAGGTGGGGAAAGCTTATTCTGTAATTATGTTGAAAACTGTTGGTTTCATGTTGGCTTTAGTGTTTCTTTAGTACCTTCTTTGAATCTTTCTGCTTTGGTCTGAGACATGAAGGAAAAGGGAAGTTTTTCAGCAAAGTGCAGGGTGAAATAAAGTAATTATGCATTCTGTATAAGCATTAACAGAGGCAATCTGCGACTTCACCCAGGATTTGTTTCAGTAGTCTAAAGTATGATCCCATTTATGATGTCAGAGACAGAAATTATATACCAGAGATAGAAGTAGAAGTGTTGCTATTGTTTTAACGTTGGCACAGTGACTGTGTCTTATTCTACTGATAATTCAGCCAGCAATTGCAACTCTGAAGTTACCAGCTTTGCTGGTCTAGCAGCAGCCTAATCAATCAGGCCACAGCCTGGCAAGAATTCTGCTCTCGCTGACACTGGTCCTGTCACTACCA